GGGATGACAGTGATACAGTGAATGAGTTTTTGGAAATAAAACTAAGAAATTTCTTAGTCCTTTAGAAGCCTGTAGAAGCCCAACGGGATGAGAACCCCACATCCTTTTGAGATGTCAATCCCGAGCTATTTGGAGACAGAGAAAACGAGGTCCTATCCAGTTGCACGAAAAGGTGGATTCTCAGAAAAGTAGCACTGCAGGAGAATCTAAAGGTCTTGATAAGAGTATGAAAGGACTTCAAGAGACCATGGTGTTTCCCCTCTGAGAATATTTAGATTAACTTATGTTTGTGGAGAACAACAGGACGAGACATTTAAAGTAGCTGTATACAACCTTCTTCCAAAACCGCCTATAAACTTCTCTGCTTTTTCCACTCTGGAGATACTCATGTTCTCTCTTGCACTTATATTATTAGCATATTTCCATTTTATTCTTGAATGTAATAATTTAATAGTTTGCTTGATTCAACATTTGGCTCAAATTAGAGTTGGTATATTGATTTTCATTTATTTTGAGAATATTCTTTTCTATTAAGAATATTTTTTCGACAATATCCTGATTCTTCTGTAATTGAATAATTTCAAATTACTTATCTAACACCTATGTTTAATATATCCTATTTGGTGTTTCTATTCTTTTAATTTATTTTTAAATTGAATCACCATTGTCTAATATTGACTTTTCACCATATCTGAGCGTTGGGGTAAAATCCCACGTAATAATGGTGGGTCTGGTGTCAAAATATTGAATGTAATCAAAGCAGAGAGAGAGTAATGTGGAAATCATCTGCCCCACAGGTTGGGGGAGGGTGTGGGATGGGGGTTACAAAGTTACAAAGTTACTCAAGATTGAATTCCAGGGTATAATGTTCCAACACTAATTCTTCACCAGGTTCACTTCCCTTTCCTCTTGTCTCCAGTTTCCCTCCTGTAGCCAGTGGTGCCTATTTTCTTGAATTTAAAAAGCTGGGCTAGAGTGATAGCACAGCGGGTAGTGCATTTGCCTTGCACGTGGTCGACCCGGTTTCGATTCCCAGCATCCCATATGGTCCCCCGAGCACCACCAGGTGTAATTCCTGAGTGCAGAGCCAGGAGTAACCCCTGAGCATCTCTAGGTGTGACCCAAAAAGCAAAATAAAATAAAATAAAACGAATTAAAAAAGCTAAATAAAAATTTCAATAATCAAAAAAAAATAAATAAAAACCGACATGTCAAACAAGTAAACTGCCCTCTTTAAAAAGCATATTCCTAATTCTGCTTTCATTAATGCCAAAAGAGGGCATTATTACTCTTTTAAATACTTGTAACAGACAATATGTCAGGTGTTTCTAACTTGCCTTTGTTTTATTATTGGTAAATTTTAACATTTTATGTTTTTGTAGCTATCTTAATTTTCTTCTTTTATGAAATATCTATTTATACTTTTCCTATTTTTAATTGCTTCATCCTTTTCCTTTGTGATTTAGTAAGACTCTGTATTTTGAGAATATTTAATGTCATTTTTATAGCATCTTACTTATTTTTGTGCTAATTTAATTTGAAACTTTTGCCGGCAGATGTATGTCCTGTCATGAAATCTGCATAGTTTCTGCACTCCCCCTTTCCATCTCCTTATTGTTCTGCTTGTACATAGCTTCTTCATGGGGTGGGGTGCTTTACTTGTGGTCTTACACAAATTATTCTTCATTGCAAAATCTAGCCTCGTTTTTGTGTTCGTTTTTGTCTTTGGGATTGTAAAATCCTTAAAAAATTTTAAATACTCCTTCTTTAGGGCCATCTTTGGGTATCTGTTTCATGCACCTTCTTCTGGAAACCCTTGTCACAAAAATGCTCTGTCCCTAGAGAAGTGGCAAGTAGTAGGAGTGAATTTCTGGCAAGTCAGTTCATGTCATCTTTCTTCAGACACTACAGCTTTTAGCGCGTTCCTATCTGTGCATGTGCAACTGTGTGACTGGTTTCTACCCAGGAATTATCAGCTAAGTTTATTTCCATATTTTGTTGACTAGGACTATAGGCTATAAATATCTAACCAACGAGGCACTTGCACACAAACCTAATGAAAAACTGCATCTAAATGACTGAAGTAGAAACATCCAAGTTAGAGTCAGTGTCAGCACTGGGTAGATATTTCAAAAGCAGCCAGGGGGAACAGCATTGCTTTTCCATGGGGTCACTAGTGTTGCCACACCAGTGCCTTCTTTGCGTGGTGCACACACGATAGATCTGCTTCCCAGTTGGAAATTCAAGAGGCCAAAGTCTTCATCTGAAAACAGTCATGAGATATTTGAACTTGCATGGCTTTCATCAGTTGCCGTTCCCTCCCTCACTTTCTTTTTAAAATTTCTCTCAGACTTTCCCTTCTCTCTCCCTGCTTTTATCCTCCTCACCCCCACTCCATCTCACTCCCATTTTGTGCTTTCTTATATTGCCTCCTGATTTCTTGAACACCAACCACAAACACCTTCTCTGTGACTAACTTGAAAAGAAATCTGTGGGGCTGGAATGATAATACAGGGGGTAGGATGTTTGCCTTGCACGTGGCCGACCAGGCTTCGATTCCCAGCATCCCATATGGTCCCCCAAGCACCACCAGGAGTGATTCCTGAGTGCAGAGCCAGGAGTAACCCCTGAGCATCACCGGGCGTGACCCAAAAAGCAATAAATAAATAAATAAATAAATAAATTTATGATTTACAATACCACTAGGATGATTTCATGAATAAATCGTTCCAACACCTCTGTAGCTAACTTTAACTCTACATTTTTTTTTATGTCACATTCATTGAGAAATAAGGAATTTGAGAACCTGTTCACTAACATCCAATTAGGGCTTTTCAAGTAACACACACACAATTGTAAGAAAAAACTTGGCATTTCTTTAGCTTGCATAAAAGCATTCATTTCAGAAATGTACATACAAGTTTACGAACTCCAGTTTCAGTTTGTTTTTTGCTCTGACTAATATAATGTAGCTAATGTCACAGTGATGAAAACTAATGTTAATGAAAAAATACAAGGAAAGCAAGTATGAAAAGTCTGAGACACTGAATTACTACTTTGGAATGCCATAATGAAAATATTTTAGTTACCTCTTAGTCAGTAGAACTGGCAGAATAATGGAAAAATAGGACTGCTGAAATAATTTATGATTTCATTTGCATTTTCCTGAGACTGAAGCATTCTGTAATTAAGACTCCACTTGGGGGCCAAAACGATAGTGTAGGCAGTAGGGTGCTTGCCTTGCATTCTGAGGATCCAGGTTTTATTCCTGGTACCTCCTACTTTTGTATGTTTTTGAGCCACATCTGATGATGTGGGGTTACTGCTGGCTCTACACTCCTGGAAGTGCCTGGGGGACCATATGGGATGCAGAGGGTAGAACATGGGTTGGCTTCGTGCAAGGCAAGTGCCTGACCTACTTTACTGATAGCTCCTGTACTATATGGTCCCACCACCCATTTCTTAGCGATCAAAACATGTTGGAAATTTTGTCATCATATTTCTGCAGCCACTTTGTTTAGTGTCAGCCTTCCCCACAAGATTATAAGGAGCATGTCACTCCAATATAAGATTCTTCTGAATACCCTTAACTTTGAGCTTGAGTAAACATCATACTACCTAGAAGTTCAGAAATTGTTAATTTCCCTGAATGAGTTTACACATCAGCTTTCGAAGAGAAAGACTAATCTTTGTAAGTCCTACAACACAAGCTTTCATTTAATTGCTGGCAGCTACCCAAACCCAGATTACATTAGTCCATTAAAGTAGAGTTATCATTCCTGCTTTCTTCACGTCTGTGATATTATCTACCGGTGATAGATAAATAATAAGATGTGAAGTACATTTTATGGTGTGATATGATATAATATGCCTAGTCATATGGATGGGCTAGAGCGATAGCACAGCGGTAGGGCGTTTGCCTTGTGTGCGGTCGGCTCGGCCGAGCCGGGTTCGATTCCTCCACCCTTCTCGGAAAACCCGACAAGCTACTGAGAGGATCTCGCCTGCACGGCAAAGCCTGGCAAGCTCCCCATGGCGTATTTGACATGCCAAACAGAGTAACAACAAGTCTCACAATGGAGATGTTACTGGCCCGCTGGAGCAAATCGATGAACAACGGGAGGACAGTGTTACAGTGCAGTGCTACAGTGATATGGAAAGACGCTGACTTCTTATTTGCAACATATTATTAAAATCTCTGCTGGTGATGCTGAAAACAAAGATGAAAATCACTCAAGCTGCTTTATATAAGCCTCATAACAACCCAGCACCTTTAACATTTTGATTTTCTAGTATGGGAATTAAAAATGGCCAATACCACTTGATGGAAGGACCTGGAGGGTATTAAGCTGGACAGGTCACCTAGGAGAGGGACAGATACAGAATTTCTGTCATACGTGGGAAATACAACGAGGGACTAACAAATGGTCGAAGGCAACAGAAGCTGAGATACTGGTCTCAGTATCTCAGTATTGAGTACTGAGTATCTGAGTATCTCAGTATCTGAGACCAGTATCTCAGTATTCAGTACTCAGTCCTAAGTATCTCAGTACTGAGCTTACCAAGGTGGGTAGACAGCAGGGAAGGCGGAGGAAGTTTTGGGGGAGAGGCTCTCAGATTATGATGCAAGGAAGCGATTCTCTGAAGGAGATGTGTTGCTAAAACATCGAATGGACATGGAACATGGGACCCCATCATTAACAATTTTTAAAATCGCGACTAAAATAAATGAACTGGCCTATGGAACCGAATTTGCTAAGAAGGTGGGCTGGGGACAACGGGGGCAGGAGCTGGGGAAACAGGAGGAGTGACGCTGTCATTCTGGAAGTGGGTATGGCATGGAGGAAACTCTGTATGCCTGAAATACTACTATTAACAATGTTGGAAATCCTGGTGCTGAAATAAAACTGAAAAAAAATAATAAGCTTGATTTTTTTAAAAAAAAGCTATCAAAATTCCAGAAATGATAATGTTAGTCTATAAATAAAGACTAGAGGCAGTTTATAGCTAAACAATTTTATTGGCTTTTTGTGAAATAAAAAACAACAAAACAAACCACCATAGTTAAAGGTCATAATCAGCATCAACCAAATGAACCAGCCACTTGGTTTCAGTAGCTGACAACAAACACTAGTGAAGATTATTGCTTATACCCCAGGTTCATTTATATGCCCATTACATTTTGGCAAGATTAAAAGCAAATGGAGCTTTGGTTGTATAAATTCATCTTTCACTACTCACTGAAAACTCAACCTTTACCATTTTCTCATGGGATATATGCTGATTCTTCCTGAGTCTTGACATCTATTCTCATTGTCTCCTTTGTCCTTCCATTAAAGATTTACAATCCTATTGACCAAAAATTAAAGCAGTGGCATTTATAACCATCTAATCCGACCCCACTGTCATTAGAGGGAGATGCATGTCTAGGCCCCTCCAAACTCTTGTATATCTGCTATGTTTCCACTGACAGTAATGAACGCCCATCTGTATTCTGGACAGACTTTCAATACCCATTACTGTCAACCTTGGGGTTTGGACTCAATTGTTTCTGTTTCAAACTTCTGAAATCTAGAAAAAAACAAAGCAAAACAAACAAAATAAAATCAACAGTAAGTTGACCTTCAGAAGGGGAAAAAAAGATCCCAGCCCCTACACCACATTTTTTATAGCAGGTATGGAGCTGTAGCCTTAAAATGCTGATGTCTGAAATCGTCTATTTACAGAGAAGCTATGACTGACTGCCTCTGGAAAGCTCCCCTGCTCAGTACTTTCTGTTTTAACACTGAAACTCAGAACGACAGAGGGTCAGAACTAACTCACAGTAGCACCATTTCCTAGTTTCTGGGAGTAAGATTGTCTGCCTTGGAAGATGCAGGGATCTTAGAAAACCTAGCTTTGAGCTTTGTGCTTTCAGCAGAGGTGGGTGGTCTATTTTAACCTACTTCTGCAACGACATGAATTTTTCCCTGGGAAGAGTTAAAAATACGCATCTTACAAAGTAAAGTTGGCCACAGGTGAGAGACCTGAGGAAGCCCGCTTCTGGCGGTGAGAGGAGAGGGTGGAGTCTGGGGACCCTTTCCAATGTCCATCTTAATTCAAGTCACTGGAGAATCTGCATGCAGAAGCATGGCAAGATCAAGGAATACTGAGAGACACGACCCGAGCAGAACAATCCAAACTCCAACGATCTTTTGTATTCAGGTCCACCAGTGAGTTTGCCCTGGATAGTGCTGGGATTTAATAAGCCCTTCTAATGATTATAAAGATTATCCTCTTGAATTTAGACATTTAAACAACAGAAGATTTGATATCACCATATTTTACATGGCACACATAACCATATAATTACTACCACTTACACAGCAAATATTGTAAATACACATTCTCAGAGCTGACTTGGTAATTATACCAATGTTATGCAGCAGAACAAAGATTAAAGACTCTCTAACTTGCACTTCGGGGAATTTCATTCCAACCCTTTACTTCACAACAAGAAGATGACCCTCTAATTATGTAATAATGCTCTGTGGTTGTGTGGGCAGAGAGACTCACAGGGCAACTTCATGGTTAATTTGTGGCCTGTAAAATAAAGTAATACACAGTATTTTCATTTCAACAAAATTACAAGACCATATAAAAATAGTTTCCAATTTGGAATTTGAAACATGAAAGCTGGATTTTCTGTCTTTGTATAAAAAGAAATGAAATAACGGGCTAAACTCCATTAAGCTTCTAACAAAAAATATACATATAAGTTTAAGGAATGCAGTGAGCATCAACTTCCCTTTTTTTTTTTTGTCCAGGCTCATTGATGGTGAGCTTGTGCTTTGATCCACAAAGATAAATGCACAAAAAGTGGAGGAAGATCAGTGCCTGAAACCTGAACTACATCTTATCTCTAATAAGACTAATTTTACAGTAGTGCTTTTTAAAAGTGGTGTGTCAGATTACTGATATATATTTTTTTCTCTTCCTCAGGCGACTGCTGGAGACGAATTCCAGAAGCACCACTTTCGTCTGGAGTGATGTTTATTTAGTGCAATATCTTCCTTTTCTCTTTCCCTTTTCACACGCTGGTAGTGGTCTTCTTCCTTTAGATACCATACAGGGGGCCAGCGGTGTCGTTCAAAGTATTCCTGGTTGTCTGGTAAAGGAAAGATATGGGGAAAAACACTTGGTTACGGCTTGCTTATGTGTGCTAAATTCTGTGCTTGCTGCTTCTCATCAGATTATTTCATTTATGTGCTCAACAATCCAAAAGGCAGGGTCTAGGAATAGGCTGGTTTGCAAATAGTAGCACCACCGTTCTGGGAGGTAGAGTAACTTGCCTAAGCTTTGGCAGCTGGGCAAAGAGAACCCCGAACCCAGGAGTGCGTGACTACAGAATCTAAGGCGGTCCTAAGCCTCGAGACATAGATGAAGCAATCACTTGCACTATGATCCGCAGCAAGGAACTGTGAACCTTACTCCACCCAACCTCCCGCCCCTACCCCCAAGCTTGAAATTCTCCAAAGAGAATCCCCAGATTCCCTGTGTCCTGTCATAGGAAAATGCCAGTTATGAGGAACAGCACTGCCTGAGGGTAGAGGGCGAGCACTTCAGAAAGAGTTGGCAAGAATGGGGGCCCGCACAGTCTCACCTGCCGATTTTGATTTGATTTCCTTGCGGAACTTGGAACAAACACTGTTGTAGTTGGTGCAGATGTGGTGCAAACACCAAGCGGCCAACTGATGAGCATTGTGAAACTGCAGGGAAGCGACCAAAAGGAGGTCAGACTCTATTTTCTAAAGTGGGGCCATAAAGAAACAGGGTTTGTTTCTTTGTTGGGGAGAAGGAAATAAAGGGGATGAATGACTAATTTGGTAAACCTCTTGTTTTGACTACAGTGTTTTGACTCTGGCTCTGATGCCGGCCAACTACAGCGCTTGGCATCTCTCCCTCTACCCCTTGTGATAGGAGTACCAAAAATAATCACTGTATCAGATCGGGAGTTTAAATTGTGCCCGGTTTCCACCCTCCCCAGCCACCTGGCCCTCTAGTGAGAAGTGACTGTGGCCTCTGGAAGGCACCAGTCAACAGCAGCGAGCAGCAGTGTCATCTCTGTGTAAGGAAACCTCAGCAATGGAATACTCCGTGTCACATGGCAGAGCTCGGCTGGCTGGGGCCAAATATCTGAAAGAGGAGACTGCAGAATGTGCGACTGTCCTATACCTGTCCTTCGCTTACATAAGGAAAGCAGGTGGTGTGGGCAGGGTGGGAGGGATCTGAGCATCCCACTCGTCCTCTCTGAGCAGATGCTCAGGGAGGTGGCAGCTGAGGTGGCTGTGACTGAAAAAGACCCGATGCTCCTAATTCCACAGTCAACGAGCCCTAGACGCCCCAAATCTGGCAGGGCACCCTGCACCCCTGACTCTGCTCACGCCCTTCTCAGACATCTACTCTTATTTTTAGTCTTTCTTTCGCTCAGGTGAAACCATGGAACCCAGCAGTATGCTTCCTCTTGTGCCCACACCTCCACTGTGAACCAAGGTCAAGCATCACTGACTTTCCAAAGTCCTTAGAAACGCAACACGGGCAATTCTGGTTGGTGCTTCCAGCATTCTCTTGATATGGAACTTCTTTTTGAAAGGTCATGGTGGTGGCATAGTGATGCTGGCTTGCAACTGCTTGAGAGCAAACTGCATTTCTTGTCCTCTCGTGTGTCCAGGGACTATGTTAAAATTGGTAAGGTGGAAGGGAACTATAAAATCTGGTATATCAGGGTCCCACGTGTCCCGTAATTGTTAAACACTTAGTAGCACTCATTGAGGTGGGGTTTAATGAACTAGCTTAGTGGAGACTCCATCCTAATCTCTTCCTGCCAGGCTTGACAAGGCTTGTCATGACACCCTGGGTGAGTGTCAGAGTGAGGAGGTGGGGCCTGGGAAGAAACACAGAGCAAAGAAATAGACTCAATAGCAAAAAAGTACATGAAATGAACTGGCCTCATATGAAATTATGGGTTGTTTCACTTTTCTCTAGAAGGAATATTTATTGCCACAAGTCACAGGCTGTCCTCCAGCCTGTTTTCAGAGGCGCCAGTTCTAAGGGTGGTCATGCTCATCCAACTTTAATAGGGGCTAGTTAATTCCTGTGTATGCTATTCTGTTTTAGTTATAACCTGTACAGGCTCCTTTCACATAGGATTTTAGCACTCGTTGCTACATCTATTTAATTTTTCTTCTGCTTCTGATTGCTCAAGGGCAGAGAATCTATAATTTGTAGCTACATGTTTTACTGACTAGGGTGGTGCCTGGTCAGAGACAATAACAAATACCTGTTGAATGTTAAGTTAGAATGAACAGGGTACTATAAACTACCATTCCCCCTTTTGAATCTGTGCCACATTACAGCTACACGCAATGATGTGAATAATACCTGCTATTGACCACCCTCCTATCTTTGGTCCTATCTTTGAACCTCCTCCTCTCCCTTGATTGAGAAATATCAGTTTAAATGACCTGGCCTAAAATTTAGCCATCCATTGTACAGAGTGAGAGAACAAGAAAAGTCAAACCTAGCAGAATGGAGAAAAATGATAAGGAGTTTTCTCATAGTTCCCTTAGAGTCTGCATAATGCCAGGGATGAAGTAACGACTCATATCTAGAAACTGTCTGCTCTTGACCAATGCATGTCCAAGAATTAAAAAAAAGAGTACCAAGTTGTTATCCCACATGTGAAGCTGGTGCCTCCGGGGACAATGGGGGAGGTCTGGACTTAGGGTCCTTGTTGTTTTTTCAAATGAAACCCAGCAGGGTGAATGGTGCATGAAACATAAAACTCTCAGATCTCCTCAGTACACAGGGGGCCCCTGCGACCGACTGGTCACGTATTTATTTAGACAGATGCAACAGTGGAATGTTTCATCAGCATTAAATGAACTAGTCAAACACACTGAAAAGGGGAAGGGAAAGGTTACCAACCTGGGCTAATTCCAAATATGAGAGCACCTCCCCGTCAATGCCCATGCCACTCATGGCGGCCTTAGTCAACTCCTGAACGGCATGCTGCTCTGCAGAATGGAAGCCATAAGAGAAAGTTAAACTGTGTCCTGCGAGCCAGGCAATCTGCCTGGAAGATCTGTTCTGAGACCACCTTACAAGGGGACAAGCTCAGGAAACAATTCTGACAGCCATTTGAATTCAATGCAGTGTCCATATGTGACCTTTGAGCACTTGAGAACTATGATCTCTAGTCAATGGACTGGGATCACTTGCTGGCACTTCTGGAATAGCTGGCCTCTTCCAGATCTTCATTGTTCAGTAATTGTTATTCATGACCAGCTAAATGAGGATATTTAACTTAAAATTGAATTTAAAGTTCACATTCTTTGGTCACACTAGTAAAATTCAAGCGCTTACTAGCCACCTAAAGTATTAGACAAGGTCAACACAATGCTTTTACCAGTATAGAAAGTTGTATAGGACAATGATGCTCTAGACCAGCTTTTCTTAACCTTCATCTAGGACAGTGAAACTCTAGACCAACTTTTCTCCATCTTTCTCTAACTGTGGCACCTTTCCTAACTTTCTGGTTTCCGTGTCTCCCCTGACCCCCTTCCTACTGGTTGGTATCCTAGTCTCATGTCATGGACCCTCGTTTACACAATTTTCCCCTGTGTAATATCCCATGCTCCCTAGGCATATCTTGGCTTTCCACAAGGAGCTGTATGGGCCCCAGATGACACTCTAGACAGTCCAACATCCTCCTAGAATTCTTGACACTCTCTAGCGGTTGTTGATAGTTCCTCTCTTATACCACTCTCATTCTCAATTATCTTTGGCAAGAGAGACCAACAGTAATGAGCTAATAGGGGAATTGAAAATGTGAATACAAATGTCTGTCTCAACAGCCTGAGACAGATGACATATTGCTCAGTTTCTTAGATTCTGGGGAGAACCCCAACAAGAAGTTAAAAAAATCAAGTTGGTAAAGCCATAGCTGACTGCCAGCTGTGTCCAAGGCTTCTCAGATGAATTTAAATGACACTTCTGAGGCCGAGCTGTCTGTTATTTCTGTTTGGGCTGTCACCTGCCTTTGGGGTTGACATGTGGAAGTATAGTCTAGGCCTGTGTTTTGAGCTCCTTGATGTTGATGTATTCTTTTCTCATCTCCAGCTCCACATCTGGTCTTCTAATCTATTACACTATCCAAATTATGCTTACTCTCAGCTTTGGCTCCATTTACTTGGAACACAACATACAAAGTCAATATGCCTCTATTTGGTCAATATGGTATCAGATCTGAATTGTTTCTTTGAGACAAACTTTTTTTGCGGGGTGGGGAGGTGCATACCCGGCTGTGCTCAGGGCTTACTCCTGGGTATGTATTCAGGGATCACTCTTGGTGGGGTTTAGGGTATGTGGTGCTAGGGATTAAACCCGGTTAGAGTGCATGCAAGGCAAGTGTCCCTCTCCCCCCTCCCCCCGTACTATCATTCCAGCCTTGAAACAAACTTCGTCAGCTGTACTGATGAACAACTATCTGGAACTAAATTTCTTAGAGAAGTCATTGGGTTTACTTCTTAACATTCACTTAAAAGTTAAATTTACACAGCTAAATTTAACCCAAAATATTGATTTTTAAACATACATTGTAAATATTCCATATTCATATTAAACAGTTTACACCAAATACTGGAAATAATTAAAGGAGTTATCTTATGAAGCTATGTGTTAAATAATTCTAATAGTAATAGGAGTATCAATAAAAGTAAATATAATTTTGTAGTTCACACAAAAACCATTCCATCAGTCATTTTCTTTTAGGAAAAGCCAGATTCCATGTTTTTCCTCACTATATTAAGTATTAAATAAAAAAGCACTACTTGGAGATTGGTCACAGCTTTATTCAACAGACTTAGTTCATAGTTACTTTTGGTTATTTTAAAGCATTAAAAATTTATCCTCAAAGAAAAACCACTTGTAAAAGCTGTGATTATTCAAAAAGATTGGAATTCACATTTCTAAGCAAAAATTGCATTGCATTCTCCCTGAATTAGCATTTAAAAATCAGTATGTGCATTCACCTGAGTATATGACTTTCAGATATATTGGCTTAAAAACAGTCTTTAAAAATGAATACAAATGCCTTAACGATATATTTCTGTTCAATTAGGGAAGAAGTAAATCAAGAAGAAGAGTTTGGTTTCTGGCTGAATGACAATAGTAGAGACCCGAAATACAGAGAAATGAAATCTTTTTTAAAGGCTTTACAAAAAGTCAAACACAGAGAGGAGTAGTTGAAGTCTTCAACATTCATTTCATTTAGAGATTTAACAAATATTTATTGAGAACCTAATATGCTGGAGCGATAGCACAGCGGGTAGGGCGTTCGCCTTACAAGTGGCCAACACGGCCGACCCGAGTTCGATTCCTCCGCCCCTCTCGGAGAGCCTGGCAAGCTACCGAGAGTATTCGATATGCCAGACACAGTAACAACAAAGTCTCCAATGGAGACGTTACTGGGCCCGCTCGAGCAAATCGACGATCAACGGGAGGGCCTTAATATGCTTAGGTACTTTCTATGTGCAATGACTAGGCCCATGAACTAAACAGCACTAGATCTTTTCTTGAAGTTGGGAACCAACTAAATGTATAGTTTGACATGCTAGACTATCCTGGTTGCTAATGATACTTATGAAGCTTAAGGTTTACATTCAAGAAAAAGGTTATCTGAATGCATAGATCCTTTTTATACTGTCTGGAGCTCACTGAATGTGCAAACCTAGAATTAATACATAAGATTTTGTAGTTAAGCCAAGTCTCCATTTCCCCCCACCCCTTTTGCCCAAAATGATCTTGACATTTTCTAAAATATATTTAAGAAAACCACTTACATAATACTAGGTGCCAGACATTCTAAGACAAACACACACACACACACACACACACACACACACACACACACCTCTCATTTAATCTTTACAACAGCTCTTGGCTAGAATAACATTACCCCCATTTGAAAAAGAAAAAGAAAAAGCTATGATAGGGCGTGGGTACAGAAAGTTACCAAGCCAGTAAATGGTAGATGAGTCTGGATTTGTCTTCACACTCTCCCAGTTTTTGGATGGTGCTGGTGGGCTGGAGCGATAGCACAGCAGGTAGGGCGTTCGCCTTACAAGCGGCCAACATGGCCGACCCGAGTTCGATTCCTCCGCCCCTCTCGGAGAGCCCGGCAAGCTACCAAGAGTATTCGATATGCCAGACACAGTAACAACAAAGTCTCCAAAGGAGACGTTACTGGGCCCGCTCGAGCAAATCGACGATCAACGGGAGGGGGGTGTCAAACCCAGGTTTCATTCATGAAAGTCACACACTTTCCTGCTGAGCCACATTCCTGACCCCTAGAGGGCAGGATTTGAACCAACTAGCTAGTTCTCTAGCCTCTGCTCTTAACCACTGTCTCCTCTCTTTTTATTAAAGACTGTGTCTGAGCACACATTATGGGGATAACATGAATTATTTCAAATTCTGTGGCCTACAAATGAGGCAGAATGCATTAAAAATGGACTTCACAGGCCTTTAATTTTCAGCTTTAAATATATATCTCCTAACAGGACAGACCATGAAAAAAGGTGTTTACATTTTTGTTGACTTTAGTTGGGCTTTCTGATAGAGTTGATTTATTATCTGCCCTATTATCTTGCACAAGAAAGCCCTGCATTGGCTCACAAGGAATTGTTATTTCCTGGAAATCTTACTTGCTTAAATGTGAGTTTGATGAATATGACAGTCAGGCACTGCATGGTCCTGAGTCATCAGCCTTACCTGCAAGTGCAACCAAGTGTGGCAGGCAAAATCTGTTTGCCAAGGCAATTAATTCCAGCGGGTCCAGGTCCAAGTTAGGTGACAACTGCTTGGTATAGAGATAATCCAATACCGCCTGCATCGACATCTTGTTTATGTTCGGGAGATAGACCTGAAATGTTATTTGAAAAGCTGAGTTCTGCGGAAGACATCAGTAGGCATATTTTCAGGTGATACTGCTTATAAATATCCCAACTGTGTGATTCAATATTAGTGAGTCTGGAACACCTGCTGTGGTGCCGGGCTAGAAGTCATTTGGTATTTATGGCTTCAAACATAACGGTTTGATTTATAGATTACAAACGAGTGGAGCTGCATGACAAAGCTTGATTTGGAATTTTTAAATGGCTATTTGGTCTTATAAATCAGACAAATGGGCTATAAATGTATGATGACTTTATGGGCCCTTCTTGCCAAGTACCTTATAATACTCTATTGTGGGGAAAGAAATCTCCTAGCAACATGACAGATGTTGGGGGTCTCTGCAAACCACACTGCTGCTGACATATGGGTAGAGCCCAGATAAGATGTCAAAAGAGAGGATGAGAAAGCACCCCAGTTGCCACAGTGACTGGCTTGATTCCAACATTCTAGCAGCATGCACGGATATATACACACACTTGATTATTTTCCTATGGCATGACTGCATAGATTCAGATCTACTGGAACATTCACAGGTATCAATAAATTCAGAGAACCTAGAGAAATTATTCCTTGCCTGGGAGAAAAGGGATAGGGAGAGAGGAAGTGGTGCGATGTGGTGAATTTTTCCTGTATGATTCTCCGATCTTTCTCCTGAGCATCTGCGTTTGTTGCCCATATAAATACATTCTTGAGATTGCCAGAGAGCCAGAGACTGTGGGGAAAAGGGAGTTCTGGATAGCTCAACATGGGTCAATGGAGATTAGTACTGTATAGAAAGTTCTCTTCATCTTGGATTGCTAACTCTAGAAATGGGTCCTGTTGCAGTAGTACTGAGAGATGTCATTGATATTTACTCTTAGAATGACAACGATGATAAGAACTGATCTTGAGGGACTCAGCAGGGGAGCCCAAGATAGTGGTGGACGAAAGCAGATGCTGTGGTGGGAGGGTTGGAACGCTGCATGCGTGAGAAAACTTACTAACAGTATTGTAAATCATAGTGACTAAATAAAATTTAAAAAGTCCTTAAATACATATTACAAAAAGAACCATACATTTACAACAATATAAACTCAAGCATACATTTACAACAATATAAAGACAAACGAACTAATCTTGGGGCTGGAGAGATGGATCAAAGGACTGGACACTGTACTTCGCCTCTCCAAGGCCCATATTTAATTCCTGACACTGTATGGTGGCCCCAGAACTACCAGGAGTGACCCTAAATCACTGAATCAGGAGTAGACCCCAAATTAAAACAAAAGAGAACAGCTAGGTGTGACCCCCAAACTGAAACAAAACAAAGAATGAATCTTAACTGAAGACCTCCTATGCACAAGGCACTATGCTAAGCTTGTATAATTAGAATAAGACTTTTTTTTTTTCAGTTTTGGGAACACACACAGTGGTAGTGCTCAGGCTTACTCCTGGCTCTGCATTCTGGAATCATTCCTGGAGGGCTCAGCAGTACCTATGGGGTTCTGGGGATCAAACCCAGGTTGGCTGCATACAAGATGGGCACTCTACCCGCTGTACTATCTCTCCAGACCTCACTTCAGACTTTTTTTAGTTATTCTACACATAAAGACATGGGAGGTTCAGGGAGATTAAATCCCACGTCTGAGATAGTAAATAATTATTAGTAAAAAAATTCATAGAGCTAGTAAATAATTTTTGAAATTTGAGCCCAGGAAGTATAAATGTAAAGTGTATGTTCAGAATTACCATGTAGTATTGGAAGCCCTTCATAGCAAAGATGCAAACTTTGGCTTACAGTACAATAAAATACCATATCTCACAAACAATATTTAAGATATAGATTTATAAGTTCAAAAGGATGAGTAGTGATAAACTTCTATGCAACATAGAGAGATATATCTATGTATCATGATTCTATCCATATTTTATTATACCCTTATAAAAACTGTTATGTTATATGTAATATATTAGTGTATAAAATATATATAATTTTCCATACATAACTATACATAAAATTTCTAACATAAAATTTTCCATATATAAATTTACTATATATAAAATCATGTATATGAACAGGTTTCATATATCTAAAGCATATATATGAAAAATTAAAAATATATACACACACATATAAATTACCTAACTGGGGGTCGGAGACAATATATTTTACTGGTTTGGTTTCAGAATTTTCAAGCTCTGGCATATCTTTTCTTGCATAGCCACCAGCCATCTTAGAGAGAAATGACTTTTCAGTTTACCCTTAATGTAGCAATAGGATGGTCAAGAAAATTCCTTGAAATATTAAGAAATCTACTCTTTCCTCTCTCTCAAAGAGAGTGAAAACAATTATGATTTTATAAATAAGCTTTATGGGCTATTATTATAATTTGAGCATGCTCATTTCAAGTTTCTAGCCCAACCTCTCCAAGAAACGGATTTGGCAAGAAGGAACCATTACTGAACTGACATTATTTTAAAATGAAGAAGACATTATATTATAATTAATTTCTATTCTAGTGAAACTCACACTGATTAAAAAAAAACCTCGCATGGATGCATACTGCCAATATGTATGGACTTATCCAAACTTGACATGAATGCACTATATAAATCTATTTCTGAGTATGAGCACTGGCAAAAATTTCATTTCTTTAGAATGTTATTTGGATTAGTACAATTTTTTTAGATAATTGGAAGTTAATTTAGCTGTGAAGTATTCAAAATTGGAACCATTTTTATAGTGGAAATCTATATATTTTATAAATTTCTGAGTGCTAGGCTGTAAATATGAAAGTTTTCAGCTTTCTGTAAACCCATGCTCTCTCAGCTTTCTCTACTGTGGGCTGAAATAATGACCTGGACTTAAGGACAGCTCAAAGGCCTTGGGAAGTTCTAGAGCAATGCTGCTGAAATGCTGCGCAATCTTTGCCAAATCACTAACCCTCTGACCCCCAGTTTCCTTAACTGCTGCATGGGAGGAATTTGGAGTAGGTGATATCTGAAGCTTCGTATTCTTCATTAGGATTTTGGTTTTGAAAAGATTCGATTAGCTCAGGGCTGGAGTGACAGGATAGCAGGTAAGGTGCTTGTCCAAACTGGGTTTGATCCCCGGCATCCCATATGGTTCCCTGAGCACCACCAGGAATGATTACTGAGTATAGGACCATCAGTAATCCCTGAGTAACGCTGGGTGTGGCCCCTGAAGAAACAAAATAAAGTCAGATTACCTTAGCATTTTAAAAATAGTGTATTCGATGTCATGGCAAAATGAACACCCTAAATAGAAGGACATTATTTATGGCAGCAGGAGATGACTGATTCTGGTAAGGGGAAGCAGTGCTGACACTTATCATCCATGACCTGCTATTTCTCTCTTTCCAAATATAGTCCTTATTATAACAGCTCTTGATTTTTTAAATTTATTTTTAAATTTTTTAATTTTTAATTTTATTGTATGATTTTATATTTTGCTTTTTGGGTCACACCTGGAGATGCACGGGGGTTACTCCTGGCTCTGCACTCAGGAATTACTCCTGGTGGTGCTCGGGGAAATATATGGGATGCTGGGGATCGAACCCGGGTTGGCGGGATGCAAGGCAAATACCCTACCCGCTGTACTATTGTTCCGGACCCATTTTTTTTTTAAAGTAATGGGTATTTTTGGCAAATAGTGTTAGGGACTCTTAGAAGTAATCAAGAAATGAGAATCAATTAGAACACTCTCAGGGAACAGGGAGATACTATAGTGAGCAATTCGCATGCATGCCTAACCTGGGCTCAGTTTGGAGTACACGCTGTCCCCTGAGCATTGCTGGGTGCAGCCCTGTACGTCCCCAGGAGTCTCTGGGTCATCTTAGTAATCCCTGGCACTGCAGAGACCCAGTGCCATGGCATTCTGAATCCTTGAAATGACCCGTTGGCTGGATTGACTGGGAGTCACAGCGGAGCTTTCTAGGGCGCCTGAGACAGCTTGAACCCCTGTCCTCCCGAAGAAGAGCAAAGTCAAAGAAAAAAACTTGTATTTGTCCTGAAGCCTAATTTTTAAATTCCTGCTTCTATGATTTTAATATTTTTAACACTGCATAGACAATGAAGAGGTCGTCTAATGGGGAGAATTTTTATCTTAAAATAATTGAAGTATAAATAAGGAATGGAATTAAAAATATTTCATCCTATGTGCTTGATGCAGCTGTTTAAAAAAATAATGAAAGAGTATATAATGCTACCCTAAACAGCACATCCCAGTTTAGTTGGCTTAAAATTTTAATTGCAAAGATCAGCTCAGACTATTAGGTTTATAATTAGAGATGGTCTCACAGAGAATAAAAAAGTATTCTGGACCTAGAGCACTGCTTACTACAACCCGGGCATACATTTTTAATGAACCACTTGCCGAGTACCTCTGGGGAGAGAATTATGCTTACTGTTACATTAAAAGTAATGAGAAAATATAAGTAAAGTACAGTGTCCTCTTAAATATTAAATGACAAAAACGTTAAAGTAACATCAATGGGCATATCTGATTTCTTTCTGGATAGGAATGCAAATTCTATTAAAACTAAAACAGACAGACTGACTTTTGTTTGATTTGTTTTTTGGGGTGGACTTTGCAGTCATGCCGGAAATCCTGGCAGTGTTATGAAGGTCATACAGTTCCAGGGTTTGAACCCAGGACTCTGCGCTCCAGGTCTTTCAGTAATTTCCCAGTCTCTAGATGGAATGTTGTGGGGAGTCAGATTTGCAAGAAATAGTCACTGTCACTGTCCTCCCATTGTAAATCGATTTGCTTGAGTGGGCCCAGTAACGTCTCCATTGTGACACTTGTTTCTGTGTTTGGCATATCGAATATGTCCTGGGGAGCTTGCCAGGCTTTGCCGTGCGGGCGAGATACTCTTGGTAGCTTGCCGGGCTCTCCGAGAGGGGCGGAGGAATTGAACTCGGGTCGGCCAGGTCGGCGGAGTGCGAGGCAAACACCCTACCTGCTGTGCTATTGCTCCATCCCGAAGAAATAGTAGTTCAAGGAATAATAAAAACGATCGCCTCAGAAGGACAAATAGTGGCAAAAATCAATTAAGGAGCATGAAAACAAATGTCTCCTCCATTTCCCCATTACCCATCTCAAGCCCTTAGAAAGGAAACTTGGGGGCTTTTAAACTTAGGTCGTTTAGAAAACAAAAATCTTTAACTCTTCATGGACAGAATTCAGCTGGAATCCTCTGGGATCAGAGTCATTAACATTTCTTAACAGCAATCATATGTTCTCTGCACCCAATCTGATGCCTAACACATGTACTTTCATTCCTTCTGCCCTTTGAAGACAACTCTCTTCTTTTCCCCTTTGCAGATGAGGAGACAAGTTTAGAGAGGGGGGTTGGTTTGTCCAGGGTCAGGCTGAGAATAGAGCTTATAAGCATACCTATTACAGTCTAAAGGGGCAATAAAGAGATGAGGCAAAGAAGGGCAGACGTGTCAACAGCTCCTGGCGTTCTTGATTTATCTGTCAGCTGGTGGATTTGGGCACAGACCTCTGACTCCATAGGCTCTGCCCTTTGAGCTGTGGGATCTGGACCTACCTACTAGCCTTAGCTACTACAGTTGTGCGTAGTGATTGATGGAATCTTTTCAGTGGGGAGGGCTAAACCAATGGCTACTTCCAGGAGAGATTGTTAAACGACCATGGATGTGTACATTCTTACTCACTGCTAAGTTCCTGTTTTGGTCACCTCTCCTGCAGATGATTACAGTCCATTCTGGGAAGGGATAAAGGGGATTAGCATTTGTGGGATCAGCTTTGACAGTATCCCTTTGTGCTTGGGTTTCTGACCTTGATCAGCTCCTCTGGGTTAATAGCAGGTGCTCTGCCATGCAATCAGCACACATCTCATTGAGCTGGAAACGGGCAGAAAGCAGGCCTTTGGGCTCTAATCGCTGGGGATTACTGACATCAGTGGAAGGCCACTGGATGTGGTTTTAATAGCGTCTCCCCCATTTTTCTTGAAGAGGGAAATAATGTCATGAACATCACACCTGCATTAAAATAGTCTAAAGGCAGCCACCTTAATGCTTAATGCTTTTGCAGGGCTTTGCAAGTATTAACTCATAAACTTAACAACCCCACTGTGGTTACTTTTCCAGGGCCACAAAACTTTCATGCAGGGAAGTTGGGATTGGAGCCCCTTTGGCCCTGTATGCAGCAGCTACCACTATCTGAAGTATCTCTTCTTAGTAACAAGACTCTACAACAGGTTTGAAAGCACTGTGAGCATGTTTCATCTAAGGTAAGGATATACTGGTTTATAAAAGCTTCCAGACACTAGAAGATGCCATTAGGATAATTCAACACCCGTTCCCCAAACAGCAGACAATCTTCGGCTAGGGGGTTGGTTTAGGAGCAGCTGCAGTTTGTTCTGGAAGCTGGTGTATGGCCTAGTGACCTCCTCAGCTCCAGCCATCCCAGCTTGTGATTCTAGGATTCTGTTTTCCTACTTGGGGATGAAAATGCAGGCTCCTGGGTCACAATGGGAGTGCTTAGATTTCTGGCGAGAGCATTCTTTTAGAAAAGTTAGCAATTGTTTTTTGTATTTCTTTTGAAAGTTTGGAGATATGCTGAGATAAGAAAAACAAACCTCTTAGGACAATAAACTTGATGGGGTGTCCCCATGTTTTTTTAAAGATGGTTAAAAAATACTTTTGAAACTCAACAAAAATGCTTGCTCATCGCTAAAGTTAGAAGTGGTTGAATTGGATTTTTCTTTCCCAACAGCATTTGTTAAAAAATAAAAAGATGAAGATAAAGGGTCTCCAAAGGACAGCTTGTTTTGCCTTAAAAAATAACATTCTTGGGGCTGGAGCAATAGCACACTGAATCATCCCTCAGGAACCTCCAGGACCACTGCTTGCATGAAGCTGACCAGGGTTCGATTCCCAGCATCCCAGATGGTCCCCCAAGCACTGCCAGGAGTGATTCCTGAGTGCAGAGCCAGGAGGAACCCCTGATCATCGCTGGGTGTGACCCCCCCCAAAAAAATTCCAACCAAGCAAACAAACAAACAAAACCCATTCTTTTGGAGATAGACCAATGAATGCACCAACAAGGGACCCTGCAGATTATGACAGACCGAAGCACTTGGACAGGTGAGTTCAGAGGAGTATAATCCTCCAGTTAAATCCTCAGAGAAGTCAAGTCAGGGGAGTTCCATGGTATTATAACTCATGAATGCAAGAGTGACCTGCTGTAGCCCCTCTTGCAGAGGCTGAGACTGACACTTTTCAAGATCTCCCATGTGGTTAGGGGCATAAATGAGCACAGGCAGTAAATGAAGGAAAAACCTCTTCATGGTCTTCAGCTTCTGGAAGACACACTCTAGCCCATATTTTAGGTAGGGTTTTAGTTTGTTGATTTTGGTTTTGATGAACACCCAGAGGTTCTCAAGACTTATTCCTGGTGGTGCTCGAGGACTGAACTTGGGCCAGCCACATGCAAAACAAACATCTTACTTGGTGCATTTTCTGTTTGTCCTTTGTATGGTTTTGATATTATCATGCCTGTTGACATTTATTTAAAGTACAACTGCCTGTGTTTCTGGGTATGAGGAGAATTGCAAGGATGAAAAATGCTGCATGTGTAATACATAGGTGCTCTCATGTAACAAGGGAACAATGAACAATGATTCCTCATAACTGCAGAATTGAAAGACAGAATACTCAAGCACAGCTTTAGAAAACTATTCCACGGAAGCAGTTAACATATGTCATTGGCTAATTTAGCACTTTATGTAAAAGCACATGCCCTGACACTTCAGCATTTTGGCAAGTACATACCTCACTATTGGCGCTTTCCACAAATGACCCCCCAAACATGGCAGCCATCCATTTGCAGCTACAGATCAGCAGTGGCTTGTGGGCATGGATTGCTCCATCATCCAGCTTAAATGTCACATCTGTCCAAGGAGTGAGGAAAGAAAATGATGAGGTTGCCTCATTGAGCATTCTACCCATTTTCATCAACTTGTATCTTTTATACTCTCTTCCACATCTTTTTATTTGGAGGGGAGGGCTGAGTCATGCCTGGTAGTGCTCATAGGCTATTCCCAGAACTGTGCTTGAGCACAGGTCCTGGAGATGCCTGAGGGTTGATTCAGTGTCGGGGTAGATCCCAGACTTCCTGCATGGAAGTCAGCAAAGCCCTGCCACTGATACTCTCTCTCCAGCCCTCCTTTTCATAGCTTCGCTTACTCATTTTTGTGTCAACCTTCACCTTTGCTACACCCATTTTTCTTGATGTGCTATGGAATAAGGGGTAAGCATCTAATTATATAGGTCAAAAAGAAATTTATTTGAACTATAAAATGACATAAAAGACATATATTTTTTCTCCTTAAGAAAAATGTAAAACTGGGGCTAGAGTGATAGCACAGCCGGGTAGGGTGTTTGCCTTGCATGTGGACGACCCAGGTTCAATTCCCAGCATCCCATATGGTCCCCGGAGCACTGCCAGGAGTAATTCCTGAGTGCAGAGCCAGGAGTAAACTCTGAGCATCGCCGGGTGTGACCCAAAAAGCAAAAACAAAGAAAATGGTAAAAAAAATGTAAAACATAGATTGTGGAGGTCCATCTATGTATGCATATATACTCAATATCTTGTTTGAAATTTTTCTAACATGGCACTTCACTTTTAATTACTTTATGAAGAGTTTCCTAAAAATAAGAACATTACTGTAGATGAAAAAATCAGCAATTATTCCCCATCATCCATTATCTACTTCATATTAAAATCTTCCCAATTATTTATAAATTATATTTTATAATATTTTTTCTTTAAAGAATTCAAATGTTGCCCTCATCTTGTCCTTGGTCAATAGCATCTGCAGTAAGGGAGGTGATTTCTGAGAAGTTGATTTCATCAACCAAGATAAAGTTATTAAATTTTATTTATTAAATTAAGTTATTAAATTTACTGCAAGTCTGTGACTTTTCATGAACTCTCAAGACAAATTCCATCCCATGGAGGTCAATCTTTAAAGTAGCTATTGCTTTAAGCCTTAAAATTAATGAAAAGATGCAGGAACTGCTTATTAAATGTAGCTTACTCTGACAGGCATTATAAATGATAGACAAAAATAGAAGTATCCCCATAAATAGAAGTCAGGAAGTCAAATTTATACAATGAAATACACACCCACAGGACAATTTCAGAACAAAAATAGTTAAAGTATGTAAGATAGAACAAGTGTAGGTCAGAAACTCATTTTAGATGCAGGCTACCAGGATGCTCAATTATGTAAGGGTAATGTGGCAGTGCAGGGCACAGTTTTTAAAGGCAAGGAAGGGGCTGGAGGAAGAGAGACGAGCAAAGTAAAAAATGAAAGAACTTAAAAAGAAGAGGGAGAGAACAAGGGATCTCTGATGGAAGTGCTGTGGGTCATCCAACGGCCTCAAGCAGCCAAACTGCCGCAGGGGTGGAGTGACTGATTTTTGTCAAGGGCGAGAGCTTGAAGTTTAGTGGCAAACAGACTTGGGCAGGGGAGAGATCCTGAAGGGGGAGATGTAGTTTAAGTTAGTTGAGTCAGGGCTCACGGAAAACAACGGTCACGGTCACGGCCATGGTAACGGTTCTCCCGTTGTTCATCGATTTGCTCGAGCGGGCCCAGTAACGTCTCCATTGGAGACTTTGTTGTTACTGTGTCTGGCATATCGAATACGTCACGGGGAGCTTGCCAGGCTCTGCCGTGTGGGCGAGATCCTCTCGGTAGCTTGCCGGGCTCTCCGAGAGGGACGGAGGAAAAACAACAGTCTGCAGAAACATCGGGAGAGTAAGGTGTTCCAGGAAGCAGCGTGGATTCAAATCCCGCCCCTGTCATATGCCACCTGGATAATCACAGTTAAGCGACTAACTTTTCTGCTGTTCCCCAGCTGCTCCATTTGCAAAGTGGACACATAACATTGCCCTCGTATTTGATGAGAACCAAGTTTGAATACAGAAAGCATGGTGATGGGAAAAATAAGCACTTAAACATTTAAATGGTGGTTATGCTTTTCCTGCTCATGTTTGCCTACTGGTTGATAATACACAGCCCTAGGAATATGTGACTTTGGCCCTGGCACCACTCACCTGAGAATGTCCCCTTGCTGAGACATTCTTTTATCCTATTGGCTTTCCTGACATGAAAGGCTTTTGTAATCTCCTGATTCATGAAGGCTTCCTTGTTCATTATGTTTTCCACCATCATCCTCAAATCAAACATTTCCAGAACCTCTGCGATCTGAGCTAGACCTCCCAAATCCTTTTCATTTTCATCCAGTTGTCCTGTATAAAGAAACTGGAGCAGGGTTCGGAACGGACCTGGTTGGACAGATGAGTCCATCTTGACCACAGTCACAGGGCCTACCCTCTTGGAAATGGGATTGATTTGCATCTCTTTGTGCATGCCCATGAACCCCTTACTCCAGCTTGACAATGTCTGAGCCTCCAAGACCAAGCCCTCAGTTTCCAGGCCTGGAGTCTCCTGCTGGAACGGGTTCTGGTTCAAGGACTTCCACTGATGGTCGCCCAAGGCACCTTCCTCTCTTTCCTCCTCAGGGTCATCATTCAATGCCTGCCCCTGGAAATCCTTGTTCTGCTTCTTCCTGTCACCAGCTCTTTCGCTCAGATTTGGGCTTTCTTCACATTCCATTAAAAAAAGATCATAAAATTTGGAAGAAGAGGTAGCGAGGTAAATTCGGTGTGCAAAGATGTGCTCCTGGTCCGGAAGGATGAACAGGACATCGGCACACAGAGGATTGTCCAGTAAACAGGCAGCTTCATTAGTCCCTGTCAAGGGACATTCTGGAACTTTGATGACAGGTGGAGGGGCTTTTGGAGGTAGGAACGGTGCCTGAAGCAAAGGTTTCTGAACTTTCTTTAGGTGGGATTTCCAGAACTGCAGGTGCCGGCGGGAGATCAGCGCAGCGCGGATGGCGTTATCGAACACATCCTTGATACCAAACTGATCAAACACGCTTGTTTCATAGTATGGTATACCGAGTTCCTTTGCAACCTCTCGGCCTTTTTCTGGGGGCAAAATATCCCCTCTCTTTATGGGCCTGAAATAGAATAATAAAACAAACTAAGAAACGATAGTATCTAGGGCCTATCTAAGCACCTAGTTGAATTAAATTCTTAAAATCCTATTCAGGCTTTCAGTGAGACCCTGAAAGTCTATTGCAAACCTCAGATCTTTCAAAGACATGATGACAGACCCGAAACCCTGCCCCCAAACACTTTTAGTAGTAACCACAGGTAACTGAAATATGTCTCTGGCTCCATGAAACCTAATGGAATAAAAGCTACATTGTTTAGGTTGGTAAACAAGACACATTTATAATCTAATCATTTAAATCTACATACATCTTAAAGGACAATGAGCTAATATGTTGACATAGTATATGGCCCACAGTAAGGTAACATAAATGCTAGCTGTGATTATTATTGCCATCATCTTTATCTTCATGCTTAAATTTTGCTGGAAAACTTTCAAATGAGAGCCAGAGAGATAGGCAATGAATAGAGCATTTGCCTTGCTTGTGGCACATCCGGATTTGACCTTAGGGTACCACCTATATAGTCCCTGGAGCATCACCAGGAGTAATTTCTGAGTGCAGAGTCAGGAGTAATGTGTGGGCTCTGGTGGGTATGGTACAAAACCAAAAACAAGAAAACCAAAAAAAAAAAAGCATGAAAATGAGGCTTATCCTAAGCAATAAAAGATCAATGTTTCTCAACCTTTTCCCCACCATGGCCCCTTTCTGACTTTTTTCTTTCCAGTAGCATCCTCCAGCCTCCCAGCTGGCCCCCTCGTCTTGGGCTCTTACCCATCTCCCATTTATGCAGTTTCCATCTATAGTGCCCTGTGTCCCAGGGAAAAACCCTGTAAAGACACGGACAAACCTAGACAACAGGGATATGTTGTTATACTCTTCACAAATACATACGGTTCTGAAATATACTCTTAGGAATTGACCTTCCTAAATGATTATTTGGTTTTCTAAACCAAAGGCAAAAGCCTGGGTCTTAGGTAAAACAAGACAAGACTGGCTAGACTTTGCATATGAAGACCTAGATGAGAAAGAGAAGACATTGAAAGGCAAGTGCAAAAAAGAAGGAGGGACTTCCAGTGGGGATTCTGTGTTCCTTGTTCCTAGGACTGACGTGAAAAATCATTAACTGATGAAATTCCTCAGTGATTATTTCAGTGACTTTCTTCAGAAGGAACTGCAGAAGGAACTGTCTTATAGGAGAGATTGTGCTCTCTACTATCCTCTGTGACTCCACTCCCTCCTCTCTAATATGTCCATGGCTGTAAGGCCAATTATCTATCTATCTATCTATCTATCTATCTATCTATCTATCTTTTTTACATCCTTTTATTCCTTTACATTTCAGGACAGTTTCCGATTTAAAGAGAAATTAAGATGCGCAAAAAAGAGATTGAGATTTCTCTATTATTATTTTTAAATATTTTTCTTTTCTAGTTTTCTCTATTATCATTTATATTAGTATAGCACTGTTCTCCCTTTGTTCATTGATTTGCTCGAGTGGGTACCAGTAATGTCTCCATTGTGAGACTAGTTGTTACTGTTTTTGGCATATCGAATACATCACAGGTAGCTTACCAGGCTTTGCTGTGCAGGCGGAATACTCTCAGTAGCTTGCTAGGCTCTCTGAGAGGGAGGAGGAATCGAACCCAGGTTCGGCTGTGTGCAAGGCAAATGCCTTACCCACTGTGCTATCTCTCTGGCCCATTTATATTAATATAATGTATTTTTTGTGATTCATAAGCCCATTTCAATATTTTATTATTAAATTTTCTAACATATTCAGATGTCTTAGTGTTCATCTTTTTCCTTTTCCATTGTTAAATATTAATGTATGTGTGTATATATATATATTTTTTTTAAGAGAAAATGCCTTAGGTCAGGGACAGTCTTATTCAAGTCTTCTTCTCTTCTATGCAGCTTCTAATATTCTAGACTCTATGTATTTAAGAATAAGTTGTGAAAACAAAATACAAAATATTTCCAGAAAACATACCCAAAAATGTACCTAAAATGTTAGAAATTATATGAATAAAGTTCCATTTGATTTTCCTATGCACATAAAACATGCTTATGTAAAATTCTGTAATAAGCCTATTAGACAAATATGTAAGATAGTACTGTGAGTACATATATGAGTATCTATATATTTTTGTAAGAATGAAAATTTATGTTTTTTAGTATCTATGAATATTCAAGTACTTAAAATATGATGATTCATGTTTTTGTAAAAAAAATATGCTCTCCACACAAAAAATGTAGTCAAACACAGAACAGATTTAAATTAAGTTATTATTTAAAAAAAAGAATATAGTGAGCACAATTTTTAAAAGCTTTTACTTCCTCTCTAGTATTGGTATTCATATTTTATACAGGATAATATACATCCTCTTTCAAGTTGTATTTTAAAAGTTGTATCACCTTGACATCTACACAATGGAATACTATGCAACAGTTAGAAAGGATCAAGTCATGAAATTTGAAAACAAGTGGTTCTACATGGAAAGTATCATGCTAAGTGAAATGAGTCAGAAATAGAGGGACAGACACAGAAAGACTGCACTCATCTGGGGAATATAAAGTAAAAGAATGGGAGAGGAACACCCAAGAATAGTTGAGATAAGTACCAGGAGGTCTGCTCCACGGCTAGGAAGCCGGCAGCACATGCTGGGGGGAAACGTAGCTCAGATAGAGAAGGGAACACCAAGTAAATGGTGTTTGGAGGACTCGCTCGGGATGCGAGACACATGCTGAAAGTAGACTATAGACTGAAAGTAGACTATAGACTGAACACGATGGTCACTCAATATCTCTATTGCAAACCACAACACCCTAAAGGAAAGAGAGAGCAAAAGGAATAACCTGCCATAGAGGTGGGGTGGGGGGGATGGGGGTTGGGAGGACTACTGGGTTCATTGGTGGTGAAGAATGGGTACTTCACTGGTGGAGGGATGGGTACTTGATCATTGTATAACTGAAACCTAAACACAAAAATATGTAAGTCTACAACTGTACCTCATGGTGTTTCACTAATAAAAAATAAAATAAAAGAGATATCATACATAAAAAAAGAAAAATAAAAGTTGTACCACCTTGAACTACATGGAAAGTATCATGTTAAGTGAAATGACTCAGAAAGAAAGGGATAGACATAGAAAGATTGCATTCATCTGGGGAACATAAAGTAACAAAATAGGAGACTAACACCCAAGAATGGCCGAGATTAGTACCAGAAATTTTACTCCATGGCTTGGAGGCCAACCACTCATGCTAGGGGAAAAGGGAGCTCAGATAGAGAAGGGAACACTAAATAAAGGGTTTTGGGAGGATCCTCCCAGGATGGGAGAAGCATGCTGAAAGTAGACTATAGACCAAACATGATTGTCACCCATTGCCTCTTTTGCAAACCACAACACCCAATAAGAGAGAGAGAACAAAAGGGAATGCCCTGCCACTGAGGCAGGGTGGGATGGGGGGGAGAAGGGGGGTGGGAGGGATACTGGGACCCGTGGAGGTGGGACATGGGCACTGGTGGAGGGATGGGTATTCGATCATTGTATAATTGAAACCCAAGCACAAAAATTTGTAAGTCTACAACTGTACCTCATGATATCTCACTAATAAAAATTAAAAAAAAAAGTTGTAACACCTTGAAAATGACCTCCAAAAGCAGTGTTGTGGTTTTGCAACTATAGCTTCATTTTTTTTAAACTGGACACAGTTATCTGGAGAATGAAATACTCTTAGAAGTTGGATTGAAAAAAAAGCAAGATTAAAAACACTTAGCTATCAATATTTGTATATATCTGATGTTCCTAGCCCAAGAATGGCTTATTACTCTGAAATAATATTAAAATAAAAATTATAATCATAATTTCAATGATAACATTATTATTAGTGGACAATTTTTTCAATATCTTAAAATTTCAAAGCTCAGTAATTCATTTGAAGCACCACTCAATCATTTCCTTTGCAAATATGAATTCTTAACTTTGAGAAGATGGTGAAAACGAGATATCTTTCATGATTAACAAACTAACTTACAGCATATGGTTTAGTGGTTGGGTTCCAGAACCACTGGAAAATGAGACTGTGGCTACAGAGATGACTACCAACTCAAATTTTAATTTGCTAAGCACAGTGAAACAGAGTTCCTTGGCTTACCTTGCTAAAGGGCGTCTGGCTCTATTAACAGCTTCCAGATCAGCATAGCGGAGATCTAGCTGGCAGCCAACTAGAACAACAGGTGTGCGAGGACAAAAGTGCTTGATTTCTTGATACCACATGGTTTTCACATGATTTAGGGAGTTGGGATTAGCGATCGAAAAACAAAGGACCACAACATCGGACCTAAAAGGAAATCACAAAGACAGCCGACTTCTTAAATTTTTTTAAAAATCATTTTGGCTCCTCCTACCTATGTCCCATTTTCACTCCCACCAACTTAATGTCATACCATATCACTATTTAAAAAAAATCATCAAAATACATCTCAGAATCATGCAAACAGCCTGACAAGCTCCCACATTCCAGCACCAATACAGCCTGGATTTACGTCCACATCACATTGCAGAGTCCCTATGCATCGAAAAGTTTCCAATGAAATTATTTTACCGTATGGACAGTTACCCAAAATTGATTCAGTCCTGGAACCACAACATGCGGAACTATTTCTATTTGTCAGAAATAGTTTCAAGATAAAAAAGGAAATAATAAAAAGCACCTATTACCAGTTGAAACATAAAGGTGAAGATGAGTCAGCCCAATGAGATAAAACAAACGATTTAAACATTGCTGAAAACATAACAGGTATTTGCGTGCAGGGCCAGCAAATACACAGAAGGATTTCTGCCCTTCTCTCCACGTAAGCACACATACAAGAGAACACAACCACTTATCTGTTTCTGAAAAGAGAAAAAAATCCTGAATTTCCAGAAATTATTGACTCTAGCCTAGACTAAAGGCAAAAATTTAACACGAAACTTGCAAGGGTTAGATGGATGGTCAATAAGATGAGAGCAAGGTGAAAGCTGGTTTCTCAGATGTTATTTGTATCACACAGCAGGTAGAGGGGGACGAGAAGCAGTGCTAGATCCTATTTTGATAGGAAGACCTTCCATTTTTATATAATCACTTACCATGCTAAAAGCCATGAGAACTGAGTTTTACAAAACGGTTGTTGAGTTATGGTGTTTGGCAGATAGCTGCTAAAAGGTATATTTAATAAGAATTATAAAGCATCTTTCAGGTTAAAATATGCTAAGTGATCACTTTGAAAATATTGAGGCAGGAGAAGATAAATGATAGAAAATGTTATGAATTCAACACTATCTTGCATCTAAATTTAGAAATAAACTCTAACAATTTTATTAGATGTTAATTTGTAGTCGTTATTGTTTATGAAATGAGAAGAATCAAGTCGATGAATCAAAACACCTTCCTTTTAAATCATTAATGAGATTTTTTCCCCCTACATATCAATGAAGACAGGCAAATATATCCAGGCAACCATAAAATTTCTAAAAATAATCATTTGCAATGCAAAAAACTGCAGGGTGCTTATATTGAATGTAACTCACAAGTTGAGTCTTTAAATTTATATTTAAGAAAAACTACGCCGGACTACAGCATATAAAGAAACAATCCTGGCATTGAAATATTTGCAAATACAAAGCTAAGATCTTGAACTGACAGAAGATGAATGTATTAATATTCAGGCTTAGAATGTCTGTGAAATAAAGACATTATCAAAGATTTTTGAACACTAGAAAATATAAAGTATAAAAATATGTGCATATGTATAAATGAAGGGGAAGCATGTTTGGGGGGATCTGATTTAGACAGTGGAATATTCAGTGCAAAGTCTTAACATCTAATCAGCATAAACAACAGTATCCAGTGAAACCAAGACTGCTTTGAATTTTGTATTTTTTCGGAGTTGAGTTTTCTATTATTCATAACACTATTTATGTAGAATATCTGATGAACCACTGCTATAAGATTCATCACATCACAAAACAAATCCACCATGAATTTTGACACAGTGAGAATAATATGGTGATATCTAAGGTTCATTATTATTGAGAGAGAATTGAGGAAATATATTCAGCACTAAGAGTAGAATAGTATAGTTATGTATAAAATTGTTCTAATTTGTGCCTTGAATTCCCATTTTCAGCCACATGACTATAATAAAAATCATTCTCAGAGCTTAATTTATATGACAGACATGCAGCTAAATGTCAATTCTGTTATCTCATTTACAGCAAGTGAGGTTTTGAAATCAGCTAGCTTGGTTGCCAAGGTTACTGTGATAACACTTATACCACTGAACACTTAGTAGTTGCTATTCAGATGACCTGTAAACAAGTACAGACAGGGCCTTGGGGGTTGGAAAAATGGAATCTCCTGATGACAGCAGCACAATGCTATCACATAATACAGGTCCACAGGGCGCAATTTCTAACTATGTTGCATCAATATCTCATTGCACAAAATACTACCGGAAAGTTAAAAATATAATTCAATATGCTATAAATATTTTCCTTAGAAGGATGATAGTTAAAATGGTTGTATTGAGGAAAGCACTAGTTCGTCAGCTAAAACAACTTTCTGAGTCAAAATTCTATTTAGATCCTTGAAAATAAAATTATTCTTTTTCCCCTCTCTACAAATACACACATTTCAGTGCATTTAGGTGCCATGTCCCTTATATTTTACACTGAAGAAATTAAAAGCCAAAATAATATTTCAGCTACGAATTTACTGAAATTCCTTGTTAAATCCTTGTTCATCTAATTATAAATGTCAATCAAGAAAATATTATGCACAGATTACATATAAGAGAGATTCTTTATATAGCTATATAAATGTAGTTCCCTAAATTGATTTTATCAAAAAGATTTAGAATCAAAGAATGCAATAATAGATAATAGAAAAGTGATACTGACAATTCTTCATATTCCAACAATTTTTTCTAATTCATAATTCTTAATGTATCAGTACATTGTGTGCTATAAACACCTATTCTATCAAATAACTATTTTGAGAATGCCATTTATTCCTAACATTTTGAGCCATTTTTCTATCTAGTCCAATAAGGCAGAAGGATTGCAGCTAAGAATATCTCCAGCTTTCGGCAGAATTCCAAGCAACTGGAGATATTAAACAACTTTTAATCAAAACATTCATTCCCTTGTGGAGACTATTCAAAGTCTGACATAATCTCATGTTTAAAATGCCATTCCTATGAAAGATAAAGGCAAGTCCTAGCATTTCTACTTCTATGGCATTTTACATTTTTTTCCTTTGAAGAACTGGGTTTAAAAATAATTGGGGAGTTTGATGTGGACATTTTCATATATTAGGCAGCCGCGTTAGCCTAGCTATGACCCCGGGGTTCTTATTTCAGCAGTAAAAAGAAGCTGATAGGATTTAAACGGAGTCCTACAGTTATTTAGATTAGAATGCACCGGAATTCAAGAATGCATAGGGCAAATACAAAGTAGACAAAACTCAAAAATCCAGAAATACTGCAAAGGGGCAGAAAAATGAAATTTCTTTTGACTTGTCTAAGCATCTTCATTAAAGAAAGGCAGGATTACAAGGACTTAGAGACATCGTCCTTTGTTGTCGGTGAAATATTTAACTCGGGGGGGGCGGTGGGGGGATGTGTTTTCTTGTACTACTGTCACTGTCACTATCCTCCCGTTGTTCATAGATTTGCTCGAGCGGGCCCAGTAACGTCTCCATTGGAGACTTTGTTGTAACTGTGTTGGCATATTGAATACATCACAGGTAGCTTGCCAGGCTCTCCGAGAGGGGCGGAGGAATCGAACTCGGGTCAGCCATGTTGGCTGCGTGCAAGGCAAATGCCCTACCGCTGTGCTATGTACTAAAGTTGGAAATATCAATATAGAAGTTTATCTAAGAGAGAATTATATCAAGTAATATCTGTAAAATAACATTTTGAGTGAGTAGGTTAAAACTGACCCAAAGGAATTTAAAATTTTTATTTTTATTTTTTTGCTTTTTGGGCACACCCAGTGACACACAGGGGTTACTCCTGGCTCTGCACTCAGGAGTTACTCCTGGCGGTGCTCAGGGGACCATATGGGATGCTGGGAATCGAACCCGGGTCGGCCGCTTGCAAGGCAAACGCCCTACCTGCTGTGCTATCTCTTCAGCCCCAGAATTTAAAATTTTTAAAACTGACCCAAAGTGACTTCTGTATTGAGAAAGTTGTTACTCAATCTCCACTTTTGTGAAAGAAGAGGGAAGAATCAGAAAGAGGCCAAATCATCTAAAAAAATTCCTGAACTCATAAATAAAGTCAAATTCAGTTGAATATTTTTCTTCAGATATTAAACAAATAAAAAGCACTTGCAATGAAAATATAGGCCAAAGGTAACATGTGAAAGATTGGTAAAGGTAAAGGTAAAGGCCCTCCCGTTGATCGTCGATTTGCTCGAGCGGGCCCAGTAACGTCTCCATTGGAGACTGTTGTTACTGTGTCTGGCATATCGAATACTCTCGGTAGCTTGCCGGGCTCTCCGAGAGGGGCGGAGGAATCGAACTTGGGTCGGCCATGTTGGCTGCTTGTAAGGCGAACGCCCTACCTGCTGTGCTACCGCTCCAGCATGAAAGATTGGAAAAAAAATAATTTGAAAGCATGCAAAGTTTGACACAAACTTTGTTGGAAGAGTCAAGGAAAAAAAAGCTAAAAAACATGCATCTTACCCACACATATTTTGGCCCCAACTACATCTTCCAAAAATGCCACCCTTGTTCTTAGGATATGTGCTTCTAACATTTACTGTGAAATACTACAGACTTTGTGTGAAAAGATCAGGGAATCAAATTTCATCCAGAAATTAAACTATTTCACCCAAAGAATGAATGGTAAATTCATTCTCCGAAGAAACGGTTGAAAAAGGGAGCTCATCGATATCAAAAAATTGCTTTTAGGAATTGAATTTCTGAAGTTCTTTCTCATTGCAAAAGTTCCCTTCATCTTTTCCCTCAGTCTTTCCATTTCTGGGCCCAACTACTCTGCCACCCTGCTCAGCTTAGGTGTTGCAGAGGCTGCTCCCATGCTTATCTGGCCATGCTAAATAATTAAATAAATAAATTACACTCTATGCAAGACTACAAGGCAAACGCCCTACCGCTGTGCTATGTACTAAAGTTGGAAATACCAATATAGGAGTTTATCTAAGAGATAAACTTTTATTGGTAATATGGAGGACAGTCCATTCCATTCAGTCTGGTAGACAGCTATGAGTGTGACACTCAAATGACCTCCAATGTGCCAGTTCTGGTGGGATCACATGTTTATGAAGTTTGATGAC